CTGCATATACACAACATCACAACATGTGACCTAACTTGTATGTATGTATGTATGTATGTATGTATGTATGTATGTATGTATGTATGTATGTATGTATGTATGTATGTATGTATCTATGTATGTATCTATGTATGTATGTATGTATGTATCTGTGGATGTATGTATGTATGTATGTATGTATGTATGTAAGTAAGTATGTATGTATGTTTGTATGTATGTATGTATGTATGTATGTATGTATGCACGTATGTATGTATGGATGGATGGATGGGTGGATGGATGTATGTATGTGTGTAAGTATGTATGTATCCATTCCCGGAATACCCACCCAGCACCACACGCACACACACACACACACATTATGTATATATATATATATACACACACACGCACACACCCTCCCTAAAACCCTGAACCCTAGAACCCTAAACCCTATAAACCCTGTAGCCAAGGTGTCGGTGAAGGTCGATGCCTCTCCGCCCGCCATCCAGCGAAAGCCCCCGAAGCCGCCCGAGGTAAAGGCCTGGCTACACAGCATCAGCACAAGGGTAGTTCTCTAAATCAGGGTCCCCTTTAGGGTCCTTTTTGTGAGGGTGCCCACCTTTTTTTATGGATCTAGAAAGGGACACTAGTTTGGAGAACTGCCCAACCAACGCTGATAGTAATCAAAACAGGAACAATACAACGGCGACGACGAGTACCCCTACCATTACTACGCAACCACTTCTTGCTTTTTATTGCTTCTACAAGTATGATTACTGTGTACCGTTGTTATTCATTATCATCGATATTACTCTTTGTGGTTTATTTAGTAGTATCACTGTTGTCCTATTTTCATATCTTAATATGGGCATTACCTGTTTTCATATTCTGAATATCATCATTACCATTATGGTCATGGGGTTTAGTGTTTATGATCCTGTCCTAAACTCTGAACCGTAACCCTAAACCCTATCACCCAAACCCTATGTACCCTAAACCCTATATACCCTAAACCCTCTATACCCTAAACCCCTCAACCCTAAACCCCATATACCCAAAACCCTCATCTCTAAACCCTAAACCCTCAACCCTAAACCCTAGACCCTAAACCCTACACCCTATATATCCTAAACCCTAAACCCTAAATAATAAACCCTAAACCCTAAACCCTAAACCCTAAACCCTAGACCCTAGACCCTCTACAACCTAAACCCTCATAGGGCGCTGCAGGCCCCCGAGCCGGAAGCGCCCAAGGCCAAGGCCGCCCCTCCCGCGCCCGAGCCGAAACCGCCGGGGCCCTGGCCTGGCTTTGGGTTTTGGGGTTTTGGGGTTTAGGGTGTAGGGTGTAGGGTTTTGGGGTTTAGGGTGTGTAGGGGTTTAAGATTTAGGGTGTGTAGGGTTTAGAGTTTTGGGGGGTTTAGGGTTTGGGGGTTTAGGGGTTTAGGGTTTAGGGTTTTGGGCGTTTCGGGTGTGTAGGGGTTTACGGTTTTCGGGGTTTAGGGTTTATAAGGACTTTAGGGGTTTAGGGGTTTAGGGGTTTGGGGGTTTTGGGTTTTGGGGGGCTTGATCGTCTTTTGTTTGAGGGTTATCTGGGATTTGGTTATTTTCTCTTCCGGAATTAAAAGGTCCCTTGATTGTGTACGGGTTCAGAGCAGTTGTATCAATGTTTTTCGGTTTGGGGGCTTTTGGTGTGAAATTCAGGTCTTTTCGGGTATCCGGCTTTCTGGGTTTGGGGGTTCTGGTCTTGTCGGGTTCGTGGTGTAGGGCTTGTCGGGGAGTTCAAGGTTTATGGATGGTATTGCTTTGGGAAGATTTTGCGGACCCAGCGGATCTTTGTCCTTCAGGGTTTACAGTGCTTGAGACTAAGATTTTAGGGGTACCAAAGGGATTTGTAAGCTGGAGTTTCTCGGACAGGTTGGTACACACTATGAGCGAAAGAAGTGGTCAATATTGTTGAAGAGGCACTCAGAGATGTGCCTCCCGCTGTGGTGGGCCGCATACTTTGCAGTCGTGATCGTCCTAGTCGCAGTGGTCGTCGTGGTGGTCCTGATGACCCTGTTTGTCCAGGGTGGTCGTCTTGTGGTCGTCTTGGACGTCTTGGTCATAGTCTTCATGGTCTTAAACTGACGGTTTTGTGCTGGAAGGGTGGGGGGATATGTTGGGGGCCTTTGGATTGATTTTTCCTGTCACGTTTAGTATTGAAGGGACTCTGTATAGTTGTGTCGGCGCTGCTCATTTTAGGGTGGAATCGGGTTGTTGGGTAGCACAAGAGCCTTTTGCTCTGGCATGGGCTCTCCCTGATCCTTCATAGTTGCAGTCAGCACTAAAGCCTCAACCCTGTTTGTGATTCCTATACGCTAGACCCTACATCCTAACCATAACTTCTGAACCCCCTGAGACCTAAACCCTAGACTATAATCCACAGCCCATAAATCGCCAAGGCCAGCTTTGCATCTTCTGCCCTACTGAGGTTCTAATCCTCTGAACTCTAAGCGTGAAGCCCAAACCCCCAAGCACACCACCCCTCCACCCCCTAAACCGTGAAATCAAACTTAGCATGTAGTTGAGTTAGTCAGCCGTAAGCTTTAAACAGAACGCCGCTGAGTTCTTTCGCAGCTGAAAGTCTGAGAGTTCTGTTGGCTCATGAACCATGCAGCCGAGACAAAACTCCCCTAAAAAGCCCTGTTCGTGGAAAGTGAGGT